CCGAACAGCAGGCAAGGACCGAGCTCTGGAAACGCTGACCCGGCCCTGGGTGTGGGTTGTGCTCGGGTAAACGCGCACCCAATACAGGAACTCGTCTGGCAGGTCCGGGGTTTGCCCGGCAAGGAGAAGGGTCGCAAAGCGGTGGGTTTCCGTGCAGAGCCGAGGTGGAGGACTGGCAACGCTGAGAGCTCAAACTGGGAGGGGAAAAGCTCTGTGTTTATATCCTGTTGGAACTTTCCTTGGTGGTTCCTGCGTGTGTGCTCCAAACATAGCCAGGAAAACCTGACTGTGTGCAAGCCTAAACTTGAACTGGCCAGCACATGTAATAGTGTCAGCACTTACCTGATAAATCAGGTTTATTCAGCTTTTAGAGGATGTTTGATATGGACTTAAAACTGGCTGCTTAGCTGATAAAGCCTGCCAGGAAAAGACCATCCATGGAAAAAAACAAATCGAGTAATGGGAGGGATGCCTCCTACGCTTGCACTCTGTCACCTGGGCACAGTGTTTGGAGCTTGTTCTCTGCCAGCTTTATTGAACCAGGCCTTTATTCTGGGGTGAAGCAAATAACATCAGGACCACAGCACAGGCTGGCTGGCGCTTGCATGCACAGTTTAATTCTCCAAAGCACAGAGTGAATATTGTTCCTGTCCTGGAGCTGTTTTTCCCCGACTGAGCTGCACACCAGGAATTGTGTTAAGCTGCTGAGAAAATCTGCTGAGCAATTCCCTCTCTCTGCTTGCCAAAGGGTGGCTTAGGGGAGTTTCATTCATCTAAAGCCCCAGCACGAGGGGTTACAGCCTGGCTGGGCTCTCGCACCTGTAACCTCAGTGCTCATCTCGCACAGAAATGCACCAGGAGCAAACCAGCGCTCTCAGATTGAGCACTGCTTTGCTCTGCTGCCTTCCCAGTGCCTGCTCTTTCAGTTCCCGGGATGAAGAAATCAGGCTTGCAGTCAATATTCAGTGTGGTGTTTCTGCTGCTAATGGATGTTGTGAGGGGATTCTCCCTGAGTGCAGTGCATGCAGCCTCTCCTCATGGTTTGGTTTCCTTCTGCCAGCTCAGAATTTCCCTGCTTTTCCCTTTCCCTTCCCACTGACCTTTATTTTGCCCTCTAATTGTCTTCCTCAACCAGCCTGCCTGATATTCCTGTTTCTGTGTGCAGACCAGCTCCATCACAAAAACAGCAGTGAAATTTGGAGCCTATCTGACAAATTGGCTTTTTACTTCTGTAGAAAGATTAGAGAAGGGCAAAGATGACTTTTCTGAGGTCTAGGTCATACTGTGATGACTGGGATTTATGATCAGATGAAAGGAGGCAAACTCAGCGCTAATAATTGCTGTATGTGGGTATCTCTTTGAGTCTGCCTTTCCCAACTCCTCTGCTGGGATGCTGGGATGAGCTTGGCTTGTGGGGAAGTGAGCCTTGGGCATGACGTGTGGGGAAGTGAACCTTGTCCTGGTACGTGGCATCCTGTCAGGGGATCAGGGACTCAGGAAAATTTGGGTGTGTTCATGCAAAGGCTCTCTGACTGCCAGCAGAATTGTGAACTAATAACCCTGGGCAGATGGCAAGGAAGCTTTGGGGGTTTTGGAGGGTTTTGTCAGTTAAAACTACAGCCTTTGCCCAGCACAAAGCAGGGCTGGACACTCAGGGAAGCTGCCCTGGGTGTTCACTTGTGCTGCTCAATCCTGCTTTATTGCTCAAAGAATTGGATGGTTATTTAACCAGCCCCATTAACCTTCGAGGGAAGGTGTACTCTATTAATAATTTGCTAGAAAACTAACACTCCCTGTGTTTTATTATTGCAGCTGTCAGTGCCCTGGACACAGACAACATCAGATTGAGCAGATCTGGGCAGGATGGTGAGTGAGAGTGTTTGCTGTGCCAGGCTGTGCCAAGCCTTTGCCCTGGCCTGATAAACGTGGGGAGTGGAGCTCAGATAAGGACACAGCAGGAAGAACCTGTCACTGTCTGTCCCTTCATGGGGCTGGATTTATCACTTCTTTCTGCTTCCTCATTGCAGAGGAGAATGGCCCACACATACAGGCTTTTTGCCTTTGGGGAGTTAATGGGAAACCAGATCAGATATTCAAATAATTCAAAGAACATTAATTTCTCCAGATAAAGTTCCTAGGCCAAGCCCCATGCAGACAGACCTGGAACACTTCCAGGGACAGGGAAACACTTTTCTGCCCATTGAATGTTAAGTGGTACTTTTACCACTGATGATTTTCTTGGGAACATAAAGAGCTTAGCAAGAAAAGTGTATTTCCCCAGAAATTGCAATAGACCATGGGCAGGAGAAACCTGTTTGTGAAGCACCATTTGGGGTGAAACACTGCACTTCCTGGTGTGTTGTTTAACAGAATGATGGCCTTTGACTGCTCTTAGAGAAGTCAGGAATGGGGCTTTGCTGGGAACAGCTTCTTCTGTGATTTACATGGAAAACTGCTGGGAAGAAGCTGGACTGAACAGAGATGTCTGCAGTGTGCCCTTATTTAACTGGAAAACAGATACTGCATGGGCAGCCACATTAAGACATTTTCTCCTTTCAGCTGGGTCCCTGTAGCTTATTTCTTATGTGCCTGGGAATCCTTCTGGAACAAACCATTTCATTTTTGGAATGGATGGAACCTGGTATAAAATCAGTTATGTTTGGAGGGCAGACTTTACTTGCTGTCACTTTCCAAAAGAGATGATTGCATCTTTTGAATTGTCTTTTTTTTAAATTCACCTCTACTCTGTGAATGTCTCCCTTTGTGACCGCTTTTCATAACTCCTCTCCTTTGGCTTTAGGCAACAGTCAAGGGTGTCTCATCTTTCAGTGCTGAGCAAGAAGCACAGGCTCTAAGGAAGGCCATGAAGGGCCTTGGTAAGTTGTCTCCCTCCACTGTTAAACCTTCTTTTTTAGCTCTGCTGGTTGGGAAGGTTTTTACTGGTGTTAAACCTTCTTTTTTAGCTCTGCTGGTTGGGAAGGTTTTTACTGGTGGTTTTTTGGAGGGGAAGTTCTGTTGTAATCTTCGCTGCAGTGTTGTTCTTGCCTCTCTGCTGGGGCTCTTCTCCATTCTCTGCAGCTCAGTCCTTCCTGTCTTCTCAGGGGCTCCTCTTGGGCTCTTGACCCACCCCCTATTTATCTCAGTTACCTTCACGAGCTACAGCTGCTGCCCAACTAAGGACCCTGCAGCTGCAGCTCGTTTGGAGTAACTTGGACCCACACAGATCCCACAATACAACATATATTCAGGCCCCCACAAAGTTCAGCCATTTGCATCACCTCACTGCCTTGTGAGGGAATTGGGCAGCTTGAACCCCACTGGAAACCCGAGTCTTGGCCATAAAACATCTTTGGTCAAGGTTTTGTTTTCTGTGTCTGTGGTGTGGCGCTGCTGGGCTGAGACACTCGTGCACACATCAGAGCCAGGTTGTGCAGGGATGTGTGTGAGGTTGTGTGCCCATTGCACACCTAATGGCACACACAGGCCTCTGGTCCTGCTGCGAGCAGCCTGACTGGTTTGCTGTGGTTCCTTCCAGGCACGGATGAAGATGCCATCATTGAGACCTTGACCAAGCTGAACGTTTCCCAGCGCCAGCAAGTTCTGATCACCTATAAAAGCACTATTGGCAGGGTAGGTGCTCTTCAGAGAGCAGTGCTGTGCCTCTCATTGGGAGATGGGGACTTCTTGGGTTGTACCACCTGGGTGAAACGTGAAGAACATCCCAGTCTCCACAAAAGTATGATTGGCACTGAGCACAAGCTTTCCTTGGCCAAGATTTTTTTGTTCTTGTTCACTTCAGAGTAACCATTCACCCCAAAAAAAGTATTGAACGAGTTCTTCCTCTTCTCAAAGGCTGCATCTTTTTCTCCTTTCTTCTCTTTCTGATTTCTAGGATTTGATTGATGACTTGAAGTCTGAGCTGAGTGGGAATTTTGAAAGGGTGATCATTGGTTTGATGACTCCTACCACCATGTATGACGTGCATGAACTGAGGAGGGCTCTAAAGGTTTGGAAATCCCTTTTTGTGTTGCATGACTTATGGTCAATTCAGTATGCAATGGCATAATTGTATATTAATTATTAATTTCTTATTAAACAAGAGTCCTGGCTGTGACAGTTTTGTCTCTGTGATTCCCTAGGGAGCAGGGACAGATGAAGGCTGCCTGATTGAAATCCTGGCGTCTCGCACCAACGCCGAGATCCGGCACATCAATGAGAACTACAAAATCCGTACGTAGCACACTCTGCAATTCCTCACTGGCTCCAAAGCCACCCCTGTGTGTGCAGGGGGGTGTGGAGAGGCAGGAGAAGGGTCTGTCAGCACCAGGGACTACAATTACACCCAGAAATTGAGTTGGTGTAATGGGGTGGGGTGGTTATGTCTGTCAGCTGGAGGTCTATCCATGGTGGATCTTTTACCAATTTTATCCTGGCTGTGCTTCTGAATTTTGCCCTGCACCACTCCATGTGATTGATGCCTGGATTGCTGTGATGAAAGCCAGGAAGGGCCAGGGCATCCTGGCTTGTCCTAGTCACAGTGTGGCCAGCAGGGCATGCCTGTCCCCCTCCCAGTGCTGCACTGCTGAGGCAATTCAAATCCTGGGACGGTTTAGGATATTAGAAAATGTTAGGAAATTTGAAAAGGTTAGGATAGTTGGGATATCAGAGAAAGGTTCTATACCCAGAGGGTGGCTGGGCACTGGAACAGGCTCCCTGGAACAGTGGTCACAGCAGCAATCCTGATGGAGCTCAGGGGGTGTTTGGACAATGTTCTTGGGCGCGTGGTGGATGGTTCTGTGCAGGCCCAGGAGCTGGACCTGGTGATGCTGGTGGGTGCCTTCCCAGGCAGCGAATCCTGCATTCTGTGTGTTCTGTGGGCTGTCAGTGACAGCTGTGCCTGTGTGTGTGCTCTGCAGAGTATGGGTCCACCCTGGAGGACGACATCGTCTCTGACACCTCGTCCCTGTTCCGCAGGGTGCTCGTGTCCCTGGCCACGGTGAGTCCGGGCAGGGCAGCAGCGGGGTGAGCACCTGCTGCACATCCCTCGCTCGTTTCTTATCTCAAAGTTTGCATACTCACAAAGCCTTTTATCAGGCTTTGAGAATTTTCTATAAATCCATTTCCCGCAGAGGTGCTTCAGCTGGCTGCTTTTCACTTCCCTTGCATTTCGCCTTGCCAGCTTCTGCAGGGAGAGCAGCCTCGCTCTGCCATGCCTTAATGTGGAGAAATGGCTGCATGACAGAGGTCACATTGACATTCGCTTGTCAGTTGATTAGGAGCTGAGAAAGTATTGAATATAGTTAGTTTGAGTTTTTGCACTTGTAAGATAGTGTGTCTTTGAGTTTAGTTGAGTATGATAACAAGTAGACAGAGAGACGTGAGAAATAAAGAATGTAAGCTTAAAAGAATGAAGAAGAGTTGATAGTGTAGTTTAACCAATAGATCACTTAGTTTACAGAATATTCATACGTTTATTACATGCTGTATGTGTCTGATGCTCTCTTCAATAAACAGAACTTGCTTATCACTCATATTGAGTGTCCGAGTCTCCCCTCACCGACAAATGGCTCATCCCCGACAAAAGCCTCATTCTGCAACACCTTAATGCCATTTGCTCATTCTGCAACATCTTAATGCCATTTGCTCTTTTTAATAAAGTGGATGGCTGCTAGTTTCAAAAGAAAGAACAATCACATCTGAATCATGTTTTGCTGTATTTGTGACCCATTACTCAATGTTAAGAATCCCATTATGCATCTCCAATAACTGGGTTTGAACGGACAATTTGCAGGACTTACTTCCATTAGCTGCTCTGTTGAAATGAGTTTTTCATCCTTGTGTTACTGCAGGGTAACAGAGATGAGGGAACATTCGTGGATGAGGCCCTTGCTCAACAAGATGCTCAGGTGTGTAGCAATCTGCTTCCTGGCAAGAGCTGTCTGGGTTTGTGTGTGTGATGTGTGGTGAGTCCCTGCTGTTTGCAGACCTCTTCTTCTCAAGGCCGATGAGTAACCCTGGAGTTGTGCTGGTCAGCAGTGCCCCAGGTGAAGGCTTGATTGGGAATTAGGAAATGTTTTTCCCCCATAGGAGTTGTCCAGCTCTGGCACAGGCTGTCCAGGCAGGGGTGGTGTCCCCATCCCTGAGGGGACTCAACAGCCACGTGAATGTGGCACTTGGGGACTTGAGTCAGTGTGAACTCAATGACCTCAGAGGGCTTTTCCAGCCCAAATGGTTCTGTGAAGCAAAAATCTCGTTATACACACCTGGTGTTCTCAGTTATCCCCACTTGGTTCCTGTCTTGCAGGTGCTGTATGAAGCTGGGGAGAAGAAATGGGGAACAGATGAGGTGAAGTTCTTGTCCATCCTCTGCACAAGGAACAGGTGCCACCTGCTCAGAGGTAGGGCCTCTCTGGTGTCCTGGGCTTTTTCCCTGCTCTGAGGACAGTACTTTTATAGGAGAATCCAGCTTCTTCATTAACTGGTTGTGATCCCTTCCTGAGACAAGAGATATTCTCAGGGCAGGTTGATTCAAAATGAGAGTTCAGTAAAACACCCATCCAACTTCCTCCAGCCTGTGAATTGGAGATAATGAAGTGTGACTCCCATGGGACAGAGCTAAACATGGAAAATGTCTGCATTAAAAAGCAGTTCTGGAAAATCCTTGCAGCAGTGGTAGGCTAATTATCAAGACAGCTGATAATTAAAATGAATTGTTTCTGGGGGGCAGCCCTGATTTAGCGCAGTGTCGTGGTAATGGTGCAGTGTTTGTGCAGGCTGTGAGGGGCTTGATCTTGCAAAGTGATCCTCGGGGGGCACACACTGCAGCGGCTCACTGGGCTCTGTTATCCAACTCTTCCTCCAGTTTTTGATGTGTACAGAGTGATTGCTAATAAGGACATCACAGACAGCATTAAATCCGAGATGTCAGGAGACCTTGAGGATGCTTTGTTAGCTGTGGGTGAGTTCCCTGCTTCTAATCTTTGTCTACAAACTAATTAAATAATTAACGACACTGTCTCTTGCCCTGGCTGTTTGCACAGCTTCAGGAGGCACGTTCTTTCTCATTGTTTTACAAGGCACAGTGTTTTAATCTTTGCAGATGCAAAGACCTGGTTAGAAGGCTCTGTGCTTTATATTTCTCTGCCAAGGGATGCTTTGGCAGATGGCATTTGCTGTGTGGAAGCCTTAAAGCCTTAAAAATATTTTATTGCTGTGCACTGGGTATGGAGACATCAATTGACAGCAGGTCACTGACTCTGGGTGTCTGCACTGTGCTTGTTGAGTTGCACTTTTACAGAATAATGTCTGCACTGAGAAAGTGCTGGAAGGGAAGAATTTATCCTTCAGTGTTTATTGGTTTTAATTATCTTGTTCTTGTCTCCCTTACAGTAAAGTGCATGAGGAACAAACCTGCTTATTTTGCTGAAAGATTGTACAAATCCATGAAGGTAAAGAGATTTTGCTATTTTCCCCCCCTGCCTCTCCATGCTTAAGCCAATAGCATGACAGCAATTAGAGAAAAAGAAACTGCGTTAATTGAGGGGGGAAAAGGAAAGAAATCTGAGGTTTTCTGTGGAGTTATTTCCTTCAGGAAGCTCATAGGCTTTTAGTGGAGCTCTTTTCTTCAGGATGCTCAGAGGTTTTCTGTGGAGCTCTTTTCCTTCAGGAGGCTCAGAAGTTTTCTGTGGAGCTCTTTTCCTTCAGGAAGCTCTGAGGTTTTTAGCAGAGCTCTTTTCCTTCAGGAGGCTCAGAGGTTTCCTATGGAGCTCTTTTCCTTCAGGATGGTCAGAGATTTTTAGTGGAGCTCTTTTCCTTCAGAAAGCTCTGAGGTTTTTAGTGAAGCTCTTTTCCTTCAGAAAGCTCTGAGATTTTTAGCGGAGCTCTTTTCCTTCAGGAGGCTCAGAGATTTTCTGTGGAGCTCTTTTCCTTCAGGATGGTCAGAGATTTTTAGTGGAGCTCTTTTCCTTCAGGAGGCTCAGAGGTTTTTAGCAGAGCTCTTTTCCTTCAGGATGCTCAGAGGTTTTTAGCGGAGCTCTTTTCCCCTCGGAAGCTCCGAGCTGGTGATGGATGCCTGCATTAATGTCAGGAGGGGATTGCAGGGAAGGCCAAGGCTCGGAGCCTGTCCCTGCGTGTCCCTGTGTGTCCCCAGCTGCTGCTGTGTCCCCGCAGGGCCTGGGCACTGATGACAGCACGCTGATCCGGGTGATGGTGTCCCGTGCTGAGATAGACATGCTCTACATCAGGAGGGAGTTCCTGGCCACGTATGGAAAATCACTCCACTCCTTCATCAAGGTGAGCTCGGAGGCTTGCACGCACCTGGGTTTGCTGAGCAGCACCAAGGAGACCCTCAAAACAGCATTTGGATATTTTAGAGGAGGTGGAATTGAGGAGACTTTACATTAATGTACTGAAAACCTCCCTGAATGTTCTTGGTTGTTGTCAAAGAGGACACAAACACTGCAATAAGCCATTGATGCTGAAGGGAATCCTGCCTTCCAAGGAGCTGCAAAACTAACGGTGTTCCTTTTTCTGCTCTCTCTAGGGAGACTGCTCAGGGGACTACAGGAAGGTCCTGCTCAGGCTGTGTGGTGGGGAGGACTAAGGCGGCCTGGGGAACCTGCTGGGTCATGGCAAGCAGCTGATCATAGAATGGTTTAGGTTCTTAAAAGACCTTTAAGATCATCGAGCCCAATCATGATAAAGATTTCTTTCTTTTTTTTTTTTTTTTTCTTTTTTCTCCCAAATGCCTTATTAATTACTATGATTATTGACTTAGGTTAGTTCATGTTCTGGTTAGGTAGTGGCCATTCTGGCTGACCCTTTTGATACACTTTTATGCTTGGAACACCCATTTGCCTCCTAACTGGGCTGGCGAAGCCCAGCTTACACAGAATGCTGTAACCAAAGGTATAAAAGCTGTGTCCTGAGCAGCTGCCCCTCTGCTGTTGTGCTCACCAGCAAAATGCACCAACTAAAGCAAACCTGAGAGTGAGAGGCTGCACAGGGAAAAGCCAACCTCAATGGAGACTGCAGAACATGGGTCTGCTCCAGTTGTTCAGTAGAATTAAAACACAAAGAAACCAAATATCTAAAATACAAACGCGTTTACATATTAACCTGCCTCTGTTAGTGTGGAGCATTAACAGCCTGGCTGTGCTGTGTGTATATGTTGCCTGTAAGTGGGGAATTGTCACTGGTGACATGAGGAAAACCTTGTTCTGCCCTGGAGAGAGCAGTCCTGTGTTTTCTGGTCTGTCTGCTGGATCATGGGAGTATAAATAATTATACTGCAGAGGTGCTGCCTGGGGTGGGTTTCAGTGCCTTGGGTCTGGCTGGGTTTCAGAGCATTGGAAAATGAATAAAGAATTTGTTTCTGTATTTCCCATTGCGATGGTGTGTTCTGGGGGGGGACACAGCAAGAACTCGTTTTGTCCAGAGATCCTGGATGGTGAGTGGCTGCAGCGCTGCTTTTTATGCTGATTCATCCACATTCTTTTAGTCCTTGTATCCTTTTCCTCCTGTAAGGACTATACAACACATAACCTCAATCTTTGTCTCTTCTTTATCTTCTGGTTTCTGGAAATTGTCCTTTCATTCATGCATTCTACACTCCAGATGTCCAACCTCAACAATTAGGTTTCTTTCCCAGGCTTTGCTCATTGAACTACATCAGTAAGTTTCAGTAAGTTTCCCAAGCTTTCTACTAAAGCAGCTTATGGGAACTTTGCTAAACTTTGCTGGCTGGGAGTAATTTAAAAATAAAGCTAGATATAGATATAGATATAGATATAGATATAGATATAGAGATATAGATATAGATATAGATATAGATATAGATATAGATATAGATATAGATATATATAATGTAGTGCTTTATTCTCAAATATATAGATACTACATATACTATAAAATATATAATATAATAAATTCTATATATATTGCATATTATATATTATATATTATATATTATATATTATATATTATATATCATATATTATATTATATATTATATATATAAACCCATATAAGAAATAGATATATTTCCTAATATATTTCTTAAATACATATATATTTATATTTCTTAATCATTACCTATATATCGATAGATATATATTTAGGTTATGTATATAAAAATTAAATAAATAAATTAATAAATTTTTAAGAATAACAAATAAATAAATAAAATTAAAAATAAA